TGTACAAGAAGGGAGAAATTGTTAACGAGAATGAACGAGTCTAGGAATTCATTTAATTTGTTGAGTAATGGTGTTTTAATTGTTGCAAATTCAAAGGTCATAATATCGCGTATAGAATCTGGACTTTTAGGCAGAATTCATATTTTTGAGAATATAATTGAAAAAGTAGAATCTCCGTAGAAAGTTGTTTTACCAATTGTTTTATCTTACCAAGTATTGTAGGAAGCACTATACTCTGTACGTTTCATATATTTTTTCCATATTATATGCTTTCACATTTTCTATAAGTGCATAAAAATCAGCCTAGTTATATGAAATGTCTGTTTTCCAATGATTCATACTGTAGTGAATCTCGAAAAAATGTGTTTATACAGGAAAGATCAAAGAATTGAAACCGTATATAAGTTTGAACAGCAACCTAATGTAGGATAATGGTATTTTAACCTTTAAAAGTCAAAAGGCTTCGCATACTTTGGATATTAGACTGGTTGCGACACATAAAATGTCAAACTTTAAAAGAATCACCATTCACTGAATCATGAAAGGAATACGTAAATAATGTAAATATTAGAATATTGAACTTGTCATTTTGGTAGATTTGTTGTAGTAAAAAGTTGAATCTTATCAAATGTATAATTATGTATGTATCGTACAATTTGATTTTATGATCAGATGCGATACTTAACAACAGTGTTATGAATTCAGCAGATTATGAATTTAAATTGTCTGTTAAAGAATTAACAACGTTATGTATATTTCTTTTTACAATTAAATACACGACTCGTTGATGAACCTGATGAATTTTATATACCACGCTTTGGTATATCAGTAGTCACTACTATCGGTAGTCTCTGCTGTGTCAGAGTCAGAAGAAATAAGGAGAATCTCGTTTATTTGCTTCGTAGTTCAGAACATTAAATAATCCAAAGGTAAACAGTTTTTAAACTACAGAGTAACATTATCTACTGAAATATTAAAAAATTGGAATCATCTATATGAAAGAGAAAATTCTCAGCTTTAAGATTTAAGCCTTTGAAATTATAGCAGCAATTTGTAAATCAAAAACTATGAAAGCTAACATTTTATCGTTATAATCTCGTAAATTTAAAAGAATTTTTCAAACTTCATGTATCCGAAGAAAAATTTATTATTCAAACTATTTGCGATAAGTATCATAAATTTAATTAAATAGTCATAATTAAATCAGTGTTGTGTCAAGATTATAAGGTAAAAACAAAAAAATATATGAAAACTGTAAATCTATTACGCTAAATATTTAAGACTAACGTTTCTCATTAAGACTAAAGATTTGACGAAGAGGGAATATTTGTACCGTTTATTTAAGTAAGATAAGTTTTGGCAGAGATAGATGTCTCTTTATGCAGAGTACACTTTAAAAGAGACGAGTGAGCGTAAATTATGTAAAACAGAATTCGATAAACTTACCCGCGAAATGTAATTTTGTGAATTATGAGAAACTGAAATACAGAGTAGCGTCTCATGCACAGTTGCGTCTATGATATTATTCACGTCCCTTTTGAGAGAGGTTTCCAAGCTTTGTATATTTCCTTATACGTATATTTCTTACCATTTTACAACTCTGCTTAATCCTCTGTCAATGCGTTTCATCTGTTAATTTCAAAACAAAAGTAAGTAAAACAAAAAAAGAAGTAACTTCATAATATCTTCTTTAATTTAATCCTGTAAATATAATAATTTGAAATAATTCATGTTTTCAACTGTTTTATAATTTTCATTTTAAAAGTAACGTACGAAAAGGAGCCTTGTTTTATATTCACGTTCAATAAATTATTCTTAAATGACTTTTTTTTATACGTGGGGAAATCCTCATGGACACCCCGCGTCCCCTGGGGAGGGGACACAGGGTAGCGTCGGACATTTTTAAATGACTAGAATAACAAATAATTTTGATTCATGTAATATAATTTTGTACCATAATAATGTAGTTGAATTATATTAGGATACGATAGAGCGAGCGAATTGTTTTATTCCGAATTACAGTTATTAATTTCTGAGCATGAGTGCGTGAAATACTGCGAGGAAATCTCTATTAATATTTCTGACGTAGTTGATAATATTTCTATAATAAGATCAAAAATTATTCGAGAGATTATTTAAGGATATAAAGTTACATTAATATTCAGACACAGCACTATCTCCATATTTGTTGCTTTGCATAAGACGGGATAATTTAGATATCGTAGTATTTATTTTACGAGAATATGAACCACTTCTTGGTCTATTATAAGAGTATTGATGTTACATTCTTCTGGCGTTAAAATTACACAAAATAATTATACAAATTAAATTTACTTCGCAGTTGAAACCGATTAGAAAAATTCCAGAACGTAAACAGCCACGAATATTAGTGTTACGTGAAAATAAGCGAAAAATCTATTTTATAATTAAATGTTATATCGTTAGAAAGAAATTTTTTACGTATTTTAAGGCTACAATAATAATAGAATGAAGAACAAAATAGAATAAACAATACGATATTTAAATCATCCTCTCTTATACAAAACAACAACTATAGAAATACTATGTCCCAATATTAGGATAAACAGTAAGGTAAACATTTATTCAAATATAGAATATTAAATATATTATGAAATTATTCCATATCACAGGTAAATAATGAAACAATTTAGGACAAACTCATTTCCTTTTTCACGTAGGTCAACATATTAATTGTTCCAAAATAACATTACCATCAACTAAGAGTATATTATTCAAATAATTACTTCCAAAATATTTTGCTTAAGTATCATCAGTAAGTTACATACGTATACAATAAAAAATTATTTGATTTAATAGCTACATAATGGAATAATTGAAACAATCACGTATTTACTTATTTAAATAAACTGTGTCATAATAATTTCTAGCATCACGTAGCATCATTTCTCAATTATTTTTGTTTAACCCCTTAACCTACAACTACGGGCATATCCTGTAGTACGATGATCGTGCTAAACGTAAATATTACGGGCATTATCGAACGTAAATCCTAGATTAAGGGGTTAAATAAGCCAAATAAATAAATAATATTTATATGAAGTAGTCATTTCTCAATGATTTTCATTTAAATAATTTCCTACATAAATATCTCCATGAATGCATGTAAACATTCATCAATGTTTCCGCTGTCCCTTTTCACCTCACTGAGAACCAGGATCACCAATATCTGTGTGCTGAAACTACTTCATATCTCGTGTCTCCGCAGATATCTCTGAGACACATTGCGTCGCGATATAAAACGTTTAAATCAATAAAATATCTCTTTCCATTCGTTTCTACGGATAAATACCCTATATCGTGATCGTAACTTGGACAAGAAAAAAGAAAAAAACATTTCTGCGAAGAAATCCAGCGAATATGTACCAAGCTCTCTGATGGAAGATCTTTTCTCATATATTTTCTTCGAATGAGAAAGAGAGAGAGAGAGAGGGAGAGAGAGAATGTTTGCTTCCTTCGACCGATACGGCGTAATGTGCCTGTGATTATCGAACTACGTGCAGCTGCATTCCTTCCGTCCATTATGTTCTGTAACTCGGAGCCAGGTCGACGTATGTCGCATAGCTGCGATTTAATGGGGATGTCGGATCAGTTTTCATCACGATCGCTCCTTGAGGACACAAAGGCGCTGGCGCGGCGGATCTTCTCCCAGATACCGGCATTTTCCAAGTAGAAATCCAGGGATTTCGACGTTTCATAGTTATCTGAGATTTACCACTCCCATATCCGTCAGTTATAATTTCACCTTGTTATAATCCACTTATTATTTTATTTTTCGTTTCTACAGATAAGACTACATGCTTTCGTTTCACTGACATATTGATGTACTAAGAAATACGAACATTACCAATAGAATCTAATGTATAAATGTTAATAATAACTCGAAGACGTCGTAAAAATAAACACACAGTATATACACACATTGGACATAAATACATATTTCTCCTCCTTACTTCTTAGACACAACGCCATTCGGACAATCAAAGTTCCGATAATTGATCGTTCCATTAACACGTTGACTGCCACGCGTGTTTTGAAAGAAATTTCCGCCAGACCACGCGTACAGCAGTACCAAGCGTTCTCTGCTAGGTGCTCCCATCGATATTTTAGTAATGCGAATCGCTCAAGCGGTGGTCTCAAGAATGATCTTTCGTTTCGTTTGTTCGCAACGTTAAAACCACTAGCTGTTGTTGAATATAACGAAGGAAAGTGTGGTATAGATCATTCCGACCAAATGGTTTCTTACGCCACCACCATTAAAAAAAGAATCAAATGGTACAGGAAACTTGGCATTCGATTCTTTCTGGGAATTTCTGTTTTAAACGCTTTGACGGTTTACAAAATTGCAACAAGGAAAAATATAAATATTAGAATATTTAGACAATTGTTAGTTGGAAAATTATTAGGGTTGTCTGAAAATACAAAAAGTCCTTGTCTTCGACGGAGTCGGCATAATATCGCCGTTCGGAAAAATGATTCCGGAAGAAGCATTAGACGCGCATGCAAACTATGTTATGCAAATAAAAGACGTCGAATGGACCGAACAAAGGCACGAATGAATTTGAAGAAAACGACAACTTATTGTCCAAATTGTTCCGACCAACCTCATCTATATATAGAATGCTTTAAAGTTTTACATTCTAAATAACTTTTTTAATAAACCATTTCCGTATTTCTATTTTATAACGATTCAACTATTATTACAATTAATTATTAATTAACAATTTATTATTATGGAATATCTTTTCAAGTACCTACGACGATCCTTCGCAAGTAGTCAAATAAGCGACACCCGAATATAGGTTACGTGGCCTGACCAGAAACTTTGCTGACATCCGAATACGGGTGTCGTGGCGGTCAACGTGTTGAATACGGGTTTCGTGATAGTCAACGTGTTAATCGGGATTCCGATGATAGAAGATATCACGATGAATGTAATTTTCGGAAACAGCCACTTTTTAAGTAGTGTTGAAGTGGTCACCACTTCTAAGAAAACTCTACATCTGGCTTTTTTAGTTTTCTCAAGCACTGAAACCACCGACAGCGTATAAACAAAAGACTGGGACGAAGGCAGACCATAAACAGTGGACAGACGACGTTGGCTTCAGGGTTTTTTAGTTATGGGGTTTACTGAAAATTCTCAATGCGAGAATTGATTGTAAATTTTAATAATTAAAAAAAAAAAGTTATAGAGTAACACTGCTAGCGTGCGAATCTGGACCAGCTCAAATTGTATTGCTACTTGTAATTACACTTCTGTATTAAAATATATTTTCTACCTTACAATTTTTCCACGCGTTTCTCTGTTTATACATCTAATAACCTCAACAAGTAGAACGCGAAGATTCGGATTATTTTTGAGTTGTGGTGTTTTAAGCAAAATAAACATTTGCGTCGTTTTTAAGTTACTGAGAGACGTTTGCCAACAATAGGATTTTTTAATAATACTAAATTTTAAATGGAATGTGTACATCTTGATAAATGTAATTTTTAAGAACTGTCGTTCCTCCAATAAAATTCATAAATTTCGTCAGATGTAATTATTAGTAATTATCGTTTTTTAAGTAAGCCACATAGGTTTGGGGTGAATACAATTCTTAGAAATGTCGTTGTCTTTTAAATTGAATCCACTGATTTTGCTGCTGCAGTTTTTATTAAGTAATAAATGAGCTATTTTTATAAAAGAGCAACAATCTAAATTATTTAAATTTCGTAGGTTTTAAATTATTCGTCAATTTCTGTTAATTACAGTTTCAGCTTTTAGAAATCGATGTAAATATTTTCCCAATTTCGTTGGGTTTAAATTATTATGTAACATTTTCAACACTGTGCATTCAGTCTCTGATAATTAGTAAAAGTCATGATTCTAAATAATATCAATTTCTGTTGATTTACGCAGAAAATTGACTTTAGCATACAATAGAATTTTCACGTCTCGTTAATTTTAACATGTCGAGTTATATTTGATATTGATGTCCTTCCACAGTTTCGACTTTTAGAAAACTATAACTGAAATGAAAAGGATCGAGCAAACAGCATAATTCACTTATTTCTTTTTATCTTTTAATACAATTACTCAAGATTAATTTCAGCTTAGTAAGTAAATGAAGATTACAAGAGAGAAAATGTAATAAGACATATTTTACAATTTAACCAAAATTTCTTTCAGTCAAGTTTAAATTCACTGCGTTGCCTATCAACACGATATTACGCAACTACTTCTTTATTTGGTCTTGGGATTAAATATAAAAGCTATAGGCAGGAGACGCGATAAACAAAATTTTATTTCCGATTGTAATGCCATATAACGACTGCGCTATAAAGTGCTGCTCTTGAAAGATACAATTTGAATCAAATCATTGGCAACTAAAACAGCTCATTCGCTAACTACTACTAAAGAATTCAAATTCTAAACATTAATTAACGCTGATGCAAAACCTACCAAATTTCAATTACACCGACTGTGTATGGATTACAGCTAGCAGAAACATACGTGTACCGTCTATTTAGATTTCCCAGCAGCATGCGAAGTTTTGGTCAAGTTTCCTGTGCTGATATTGTCCGCAAAACTAGAGTAAAAAACAGCAGGAACATCATACGTTCTTTCGTCAAGCTTTTGTCAGCGCTCGTCCTATACTACTTAAACAACCATTGACGGTTAAACTGTCGTTAAAGCAGCCTCCTCCACAAGTGCTTTGAGCAACGAACAAGATACGACATTCGAGAAAAACGAATAGCGCGATTTAGCTGTGTTCAAACGCCTGTAAAACACGTCCGTGTGTTTCGTAAACAAATGCAATTGAATTGTCCGAGATACGAACGTGACTATGCTCCAAGAAAGGAAAGCTCGCCACAGGGATGAAACAGAGTGCGGGACAGAAAGACAGAAATTTGTAAAATGTAGAACGAAACGAGGATAGAGTAGTGGAGGGAAAAGGAGGAATTAAAGGCAGATAGAAAAAACAAGTAAATGAAAGTAAATTGTGGAGCTGGGAGCAGCTGGGAAAAAAGGAATCAAAGGAAGACGATAAAAGAACGAATATAAACAAAGAAACGGACAAGTAAATAGAAAATTACGAGGATAGAAATAGTTGGAATGGAAAATTCCGTTGAAATGGAAAATGGCAAAAGTGGAAGCTGGCTTTGTAAAGAAAACAAATCAGAGAGAGATTAAAGAAAGAGATGGACAAACAAAAATATGAGTAGTCAGAAAAAAGAAAAAGTGAAAGAAGAAGTAAGGGAAAGGAAGTAAAGGAGAAATAAGAAAGGCAGGAATAGTTAGAAGAAAAAGAGAGATCACAGGAAGATACAAGAGAAGAGACAGAGAAATGAGCAGACTGGCAAATAACGATAATAGCGATAGCTGTAAAGAGAAGACAAATCTAAGGAGACAGAAATCAGGAATAGGCACGAACAAATAGAAAATGAAGGTAGGAGTAATTAGGAGAAAAAGGAAACGAAAGAAAATGATGGATAAATAGGTACTAAATAAGAAGGATATGAGTAGCAGCAAGAAGGGAAAGGGAAATCAAGAGAAGACGAAAGAAAAGGAGTAAACAAATAAGAAGTGAGAAATGATGCAGATGCGGAAAATAGGACGAGAAACAGCAGGAAGAAATAGGTAGAGCATATAGACTCAGAGAGAAAAAATGGTGGTTAATTCTTGTAAAAGCCAGCATGGAATTATAGGAACAGCCGAGGAAAAAAAAGAAACTAAAAGGAGGTAGAAAAAAGAAGACAAAGAAATGGAAGTAAATAGAAAATGGTGAAGATAAAAACTGCTGACAGAGGCGAGCAAATCAAATACAATCGAACGAAAGAGCATAAAGACAAGCACGAACAAATAAATGTAGAATATGGAAGATAGGAGCATCTAGGAGAAGAAAAGGAAATTGAAGAAAAATATAGGGAAAGAGACAAAGAAACAATGCACAATGAAATAGAAAATGACGAAGACAGTGGCGATCAGAACAAAGATGATAATCAAAGGTAGACAAAAGAAAGGAGACGAGAAAGGTATTGATAAAGGAATAGAAAATTTAAAAAATGAAATCAAAAGAAGACATAGATGAAAGGAGAAAGGATCTGGTGGGAAAGTAAATAGAAAATAACGAAGAAAGAAGCAGCCAGGAGAAAAACTGAATTGAAAGAAATAGAAAATTACACAATTGGGAATTATCAGGACGAAAAGAGAGATCAGAGGATAACAAAAAGAAAAGGGACAAAAGAGAGGAATAGAAGGAGTAAACATGAAATGAGAAAATGATATAAACACAGAGAATATGGCAGGGAGAGACGCGAAAAAAGAGACAGAAGGCATAAAGATAGACGCGGAAAGAAACGATGATCGTGTCTGTCCTTTTGGACCAGCCAACGAGGAATTCTCATTCCTAGTTCTCGCCTTTTCTTTTTTTCTCATCGCTCAAATACTTCCTTCCGCCGTTTAATATCGCGCTACCCACTCGGTGTCCGTAAAATAACGTTGCCACTATTAATATATTCGGTGACTTACGTCACGGACGGGTTAACGAGTGCGCCAACGTTTACGAGATTCGTCGTAAAAAGGCAAATTTGAAACGCGACGGAGAAATAACGTTGGTTATTCCTGCGTGAAGCGTACATGTTTGAACAAAGAACTCGTGTGTCTTGATTGCAGGAGTTTCGATACGAAAGAATATCGAAGTGAAAGAGGAAATTGATTTTCCGCTTGGACAGTGTAAACCTAGTTTCCCGAGAGAATTAATTTATAGAGTATGTGAAGAAATGTTACGAAGTGGCAAGTTGGATAAAGTTGACATGGAATGGTTTAATTACCAAAGATAGAATATTTTATCCCTAGCTTTTATCTATATTTTCATTTCTATTTTGTTTCTTTATTACTTAACTACCGATAGATAGAATATTTAATCTATACATTTAATCTGTACATTTATTTCTATTTTATTTTTTATCGTGGATATATTTGATTTTATTTAAACAGTGTTTTAATTATTTTTTTCAATTATTAATGTATTATATTTAAGGGTCTTTTAACATATCGTAATGTCTGCGAATAAAGATAAACAAAAATATAGAATAAAAGAAAATAAATGGCTACGATCAAATAATCAAATTTGTTTTCTTTTTTATTTATTAAAATTCACAATCAATTCTAGCATTGAGAATTTTCAGTAATTTTTTCTGGCGTGGCACAGTGACGTGGCTAATTATTTATAATAAGTTAATACTTATTATAGACAAGTATAATTTATAAGTAAGTATTATTAAGTTTAGCGTTAATCAAATTATGTGAATAAAATGAGACGTCAAGATTGATTAACATCTTAAGAATAGAAAATTTATAATCGAATATTAATTTATTCGTTGTGTATTTTCTTTTATTGCCTATTGTGCCTACAGAAATAATTCTAACATCGCTTCAAGTGCGACCTTTGCGAATCCTTAAAGGATTAGTCTTCTGTTATGAAATTAATGTATTTTATTTGTATAAAACGCACTTGTAAAATCAATTATATACAAAGTCGACGCTTTTTTAGCATTTCAATAAACTTCAATGTTCAAATTAATATGCAATTCTTTTGATTAACTGAAAACTGAATATAAAGCTTTGTTCGTTTCGTTTTTGTGGGATCAAGGATTAAACGAGCTTTGGATGATTTTTATAATACACCGTGCAAAGATCATTGACATTATTTTCTTGCAATAGGTACGAATATTTATACGCCAGTGAACGCAATAAAGTCGAACGATTATTTAAAAATTAGCCGTTATTGTACTTCTGAACGCACCTTTATAAAGATATTCTTAATTCATGGAAATTTCTACGTAGAATACGTTTTTATTTAATTACCGTTTTAGTAATTCATTGAGCATAATAATTTCTTCTCTGTAATTTTTGCTTCATTTGTTTGACATTATTTCATAACTAAATGTATTTTTCATTTCCATTGTTTCTCCAAAAAATTATCAGTTATATAGGTACATTGTAATATCTCTTTTAATCGATCGAATCTTATTTATTGCAGTTAAATTATTTTAATTGACCGAATACTGTCTATTGCATTGAAACTTTTTCAATTGAAATCATCAATTGAATTTTTTAATTATTCGGGCAAGGTTGATCTGTTTTAATTAATGTGTAATATTTGATTAAAATCTCTTAATTTACCTTTCATAGAAGAGGAATTAATTTGGATGGTTGACGAAAATAATGGCATTTTAAAGCACACCATTTTTTCTTCTGAATAAAACACACTATTAATCTATTTTTATTTTATAAATTTGCGACA